CCCACTGTGCCTGGCTCTCATAACATTCTAACTCAGTTTTAATTTTGAGTCTTCTCAAAATCCTGACTTCCTGGTCAAGAAAAATTAGATGCCAACCAGAATAAAAATGCCACATCACTCATCTCCAAACTGATTTAACGGTCAAATCTTGTTGGTTCTTATTGCTGGTTGCCTGGGCAGTCGGTCTTCTAGTAGTTCACATGGGGAATCTTCCTCCCCATGTGAGATCGACACAGGCAGGTCCTCCAAAGGCAGTTGAGTCACTGTTGTGGGCATCTCCTTGCCCTCCTCCTGCTCTCTGGGCACTCTGATGGAACATGGGGCACCTAGCCTCCAGAACTAGGGTTTCATCAATGCTTTTATCTGACAGCGACTGTCTACTGGGCCCACTAGAGAATGACAGTAGAACCTCTTCATTCTGTGGGCACCTCTAAAGTAATGTCAGCATACCTAGGGCAGGTGTGGGCTGTGGGGACAACTCCCCTGTGCCTGACCAGTCATTAGCATCTTTCTTCCATGAGGATGGCAGTTCTGTGTCTTGTCTTCTTCTGCTGGATCCCCAGTGCCTGGTGGCTGGTAAGTGCTCACTAAAGAGAAGCTGAATTCCTTCCTTTCCTCCTAGGTCTTTTCTAGGTGGCAAGAGCCATGCAGTTCTCCAGCTCAGCCAGGGCAGAAGATGAGAACTTTGACTATTTGTTCAAGATTATCCTCATTGGGGATTCCAATGTGGGGAAGACGTGTGTGGTGCAGCATTTCAAGTCTGGGGTCTACACTGAGACACAGCAGAACACGATTGGGGTAGACTTCACCGTGCGCTCCCTTGAGATCGATGGCAAGAAAGTGAAGGTCAGAGGGGCACCGGGGCTGGTCCCACATCTTTCAGCCAGAGTTAAAAGATGCCAATGTAAAACATGAAAGGAATCATAAAAGTGCCAGAAGAAAACATGGGAGTATTTATTTTTATCATCATGGAATGGGAAAATCAGCCCCTTAAGTAACACATGACACGACTCCAAAAGCCATAAGGGGAAATATTGTTAAATCTAATTATAAAGGCCAAATTTATTTATACATTTCTATGTAACCTATATAAAGGTCAAGTTTTCTACATATTCACAAGATGCCATAAACAAAGTCAAAAGATGAATGATAAATTGGAAAGAAATATTTGCATATATGGAACTGACAATGGGATAAGGGATAATTTCTTTTCTTTTCTTTTTTTTTGAGACAGGGTCTCACTCTGTCACCCCTGGCTGGAGTGCAGTAGTGTCATCACAGCTAACTGCAACCTCAACCCCTCCTGAGCTCACACAATCCTCCTGCCTCAGCCTCCCAAGTAGCTAGGACTACAGGCATGCGCCACCACACCTTGCTAATGGGTTTTTTTTTTTTACAGACAGGGTCTGTATGTTGTCCAGGCTGGTCTCAAACTCCTGGACTCAAGCGATACACCCACCTCAGCCTCCCAAAGTGTTGGGATTACAGGCCTGAGCCGCCACACCTGGCTGGGATAATTAATGTGAAGAGCTCATAATTGTCTAAGAAAAAAGACCAACAATTAAATACAAAAAGTAGGCAATTCACAGATTGTACAAAACTGCTTTTCACAAATTATTTGAGAACTAGCTCATAAATACATGCAATAATGCCCATTTTCACTCTCAATTAAAGAAGTGCAAATTAAAGTAACAGGGAGAGGCTATATCTTTTACCAATTTGATTAGAAAAGACCTAAAGGTGTTGGTGAAAATGTAATAAATGGATCTTGTTTGGGATTTCAGGAATCCCAAACAGTTTGAGGAAAACAACTGTAAAAAGACATTTTAGAGACTATCGGGAAAATCTTCATATGGTCTGGTTATTAGATGATAACAAGGAATTGTTAAAAAGTTCATTATCAGTGATGATGGTATTGTGGTTATGAAAGAAAATGTCCATGTATGTAGGGATGTATATTGACGTGAGTACAGATGAAATGACATGAAGTCTGGGATTTGCTTTAAGACAGTGTCTCTAAGAAATCAGCAGAAAAGGCTAGATGAAGCAAGTGACAAACATCTCAATCATTACTGAATCTGGGTGTGTGAGAGTTTGTTCTTCTATTCTCTCTAGTTTTGTGTATGTTTGCAAACTTTCTTTAAAAAATAAATTTAGTATAAATAGTGTGAGAGAATGAAGAAGATGATACCCTCGATGTTGGTGCTACTGCTTGGGATGGTAATTTGGAAGGTATTATTATGAGGACATTCCTAAACATAAACAGTTGGAGTGGTCCCTTAAAATCAAAACACTTCAGCCAATGCTATCACCTTTGCCTGTATTAACATCAATAGGCAGGCTCAAAAGATGAACCCCAAAATCTGGCACAAGGGATGATTGAGGTGAAAAGTCAAAATACCACCAGACCCCAGGGTTCTTGGTGGGATGGGGGAGGGGGAGAAAAAAGGAAGGAAAAAAAAGAGCCCCGGGTGTAACAGGTGTCCTTTTCTCCGGGGGGTGTGTCTTTTGTGTTGTTTTTCTGAGCTGTGAGCGTATCTCGAGTCTCGATCTCCCGGGGGGCGCTATGTTTTTGTGCGCCCCCCCCGGGCTCTTGTGTGTGTGTGTCTCTATGTGTGAGCCGTGGGACTGTATTTTTAAGACACTTTAGGTCAACGAGTTGCTGTCACGCATGGGAACTCCTGGTGTCAATCTCTTTCCTGTCCTCTCCAGATGCAGGTATGGGACACAGCTGGCCAGGAGCGCTTCCGCACCATCACCCAAAGCTACTACCGCAGCGCCCACGCGGCCATCATCGCCTACGACCTCACCCAGCGGTCCACCTTCGAGTCCGTCCCTCACTGGATTCACGAGATAGAGAAATACGGAGCAGCTAACTTAGTCGTTATGCTGATCGGTAGGGCCTTGTCAAAGTGTTTAACTTTTCTTTACTCCTCTCTGCCGATGCTTTCGATGGCAGTAGAAAATGATATATTAAAAATGCAAGCAGTGGATGGGACCTCAGAAAGTGCCCTGCCCAGAAATTCCCATCAGATTCACTTGAGAGTGAGAGTGCGATGCTGTGAGCTTGTTAAAAATACAGATTTCAAGGTCCAGCCCCTAGAGATTCTCACTGGAGAGATCCGGGAAGGGGTGCGGGCACCCCAGTGGATTCTATGCCCATGGGCTGTGTAGGCAACATAGGAGGAGGTGCCGTTGAAGTCTGATATTAGCAAGTCAATTGGCTCCAAATCCCCAGGAAGCCATTCGGATGAACGTGACTGGCTATATCCTTGAATGACTACTTACACCTTTTGGGATCCTAAGCAAAGATTAACAACAAACTAACATCAAAATTAACAGAAACTTCAACGACACAAAGTAAATGAACAGCTTGGAACAGGAGCAATCCTATTGTACATTTAGAAAAGTATGATATTTCTGTCACTTCTCTATAGTTTTAGTTTTGCACGTAGGGCTGGCTTGTCCTGGCTCATAAGTATACTGCTGTTCACCAAGTGCCTGCTTAATTTTGGCAAGTTGGTTTAGGCTCTTGCTACTCCAAGTCTGGTCCATGGACCAGCAAGATCAGCATCACTTTGGAGTTTGTGAAAAGTGCAAGGTCTCAGGCCCCATCCCAGACCTGCTGAATGAGATTCTTCTAACAGGATCCTAGAGCAATTCATAGGCAAGGGAAAGTTTGTAAAGTGCAGGTCTGGACAGTTCTGGACTTTGGAGTCAGACAGATTTAGGTTCAAATCTCTCTCCCTCTGTCCTTCCTGTCTGAAGTTGGGCTCATTACTTACTCTCTAAATTTCTGCTTCCTCATCTGTAAAACTGGTATTATAGTGCCTGTTTCAAAGGTATCGTTGAGTTGAAAGGATTAAATAAGGTAACATATATAGAGCACTTCCAGTGCTAAGAACTCAATAAAAGGAAGCCGTTATTTCCTAGTAGAACAAAGAAAGCTCTGCCGTGATATACGGGGGGCACTGGGTGGGCAGGCAGGGACAGCCTGTGACCTCGAGAGGCAGAGGGAATCCCGGCAATGGTAGCTTTTGGAGAAGGGCAGAATAGGTGTAGAAACACATCTCACAGAGGGAACGAAGCAGTTCTAAGCCACGTGAGGCTTCCCCGGGAATGTGGACTGGATCTGCCTTTCCGTTAGATTCCCGCGTGTCCCCAGGAAGCACTGGAGCAGCTGTTCCTCGGGGCCTCTAGGCCTGCGTTGAAAGCCACCCGGCATGGCAGTGCTCCCTCGGAGCTGTCTTCCCAGGCAACACCCTGTCCCCAGCCCAGCCTCCCCAGCCGGCTCTGCCAGGCGCCCGCCCTTAGCTACTAATCACTCTGGGGAAACAGATGGGTAACGAATGCCAGCACCCTGCAGGGTTTAATCTCGCTGTGTTTGCTTGGTATTTACACCCCAATCTGTCTTTCATAACAACCATCCCTGCCCCACGTCTTAATTGGTTCTGGAGGTTTCCCCAAAGGCAATCCGGAAGTGCTGCAGGCTTCCAGTTTCTGAGGCGTCCAGTCCCAAGGCCTCCTGTTTTCTCTCGGTGGCCTCCTCACCTGAACCCGGAAAAGTGAACTGTGGCGTTCCCTCACGGAAGTGTCTCTGCGCCTTTTACTGTATTTTCTTCATTCTGTCTCCACATTTCTTCATACAAGTGTCTCTTTCTGTCTCAAAAGTTTGCCCCCCTCAGCCCCTGGCAGCCACTTCACCCCCATATGGATGATCCACTGGGCAGAGTTGATTTGTACCACACTCTTCCTCCTCCAGCCCTTCCCAGGAGGCCCAGCCCCTCCGTAATGTCCCTGTTTAAAATCCTCCATGATGTCGGGTGTGGTGGCTCACGCCTAGAGTCCCTGCTACTCCAGAGGCTGAGGAGGGAGAATCCCTTGAGGCCAGGAGTTCAAGCCTAGAGATCCCATCTCCACTATAATACCGGAAATTAAAAAAAGAAATCTTTTTATTTTTCCCCATTGCCCTCAAAAAAGCGCACAAATTTCTAAACATGGCTGACAAAGCGCTTGGTGACCGAGCCCTGCTTTCTTCCTGGGGGTGGCTGGCTTCCTGCCTTTCTCTCATCCCCCTCTGTCCTGTTCTGACTTCTCAACTCCTTTATCCCGTCCCTCAGAGTAAGGGCTTTAGGAGCCAGCTTCTTTCCGTAGGTTATGCTGAATGTTCTGTCTCCCAACTTTCTTCAGCCTCTGATATTTGCGCCTTAGGATCTCAGCCTAAGTTTCCGCTCAAACTCCTGTTGTACTTACAGGTCTGCAGTCTCTCAACGAGAACCCCGAGAGCCAAATATCTCAGAGTTCGTCAGATTTAGAAGCGTGCATTCTGTGTTATGTAAGGCCCTCAGCAGGGTCCAGACCAATATCCCACGGCCAAATACATTCCTGTCTATGCAGTCACGTGTATGGACAGTCACACAAAGTGGGTTGAATAAAAACTTCAAATGGCCAGTTTAGGTCAGATGTTATTATCAAATGAATCGCCAAAAAACTTAGGGGTTTCAGAGTTTTTTGGATTTGGGGATTGCTGATAAGGGAGTGTACACCTGTACTACTGACAACTTATGCCAGTCACCTGGTCCTTAGTGTGTATTATTTCATGGCCTTTCTCTGATTGGTAAGTTCTTGTATCGCTGTTTAACATTCTGCGTGTCTCTTGCCTCCCTAACGAGAAGAAGAAACCCTTCCTAGGGGCGGGGGCTGTCTCTGGGTGCCGACCCCATTCACTTAGCCAACGTCAGCTTCTTTCCCTCCCTCCGGGCGCTGGGCTCACCCTGGCAGGCCCGTGGATCGGCTATGGAGGAGGGGCAGGGGCAGGCGGGAGGAGCAGGTTATAGAGTTGGAATCCACAGGTCAGGGAGGGATGTAGGGGGCAGACCAGACTCCCACCTCGTTCCCTCCTCCACAAGGGGTTCTCATACCTTTCCTCTAGAAGCAGAGCGTGGCCCTGAGCTTCAACTTCCCTAGCTACAAACAGGCATATGGTTCTTTGGAAGGTACGTACCTGCATGAGCCTCCTGTAGCTGCTGTAACCAATGACCACAAGCTGGGAGGCTGACAAGAGCAGAGATTTGTTCTCTCACTGTTCTGGAGGCCACAAATCTGCAATCAGTATCCCTGGGCTGACATTAAGGTGTCAGCAGGGCCTTGCTGCTCTGGAGGCTCTAGAGGAGGACCTGTCCCTTGCGTCCTCGAGCTTCAGAGGCTGTCAGCATTCCTGGGCATTGTGTGCCTCTGTCTTCATACCACCTTCCCCTCCCTGTGTGGGGTTAAGACTGCCTCTACACGTGATGGCATTTAGGGCCTGCCTGGCTAATCCAGAATAACCTTCCCAGAGATTAGAACCTGATCTATCAGGCGCCAGTTTTCAGCCTACTGCAGTACCCAAGTGTGGTAATGTCCACTGAAAACATTCTTGGATTTAAACGTCTTTGGAGATACTCTAAGTCCAGCTGTGTCACTGAGCGGGTTGTTGGCTGTGACTGTGGGAAAGTATTTTTTTAATCTTTTTTACTGGGACATACTAACATATATAAAGTACACATTAATCCCTCACAAAGGGCACACCTGAGTAGACACTGCCTGGGTCAAGAAAGGACATTGCCAGCCCCTCCCCTGGCTCCCTCCTCCCCCACAGGCAAGCGCAACACGACTTTATGGTAATCACTCTTCTGCCTTTATCATTTTACTACCTAAGTCCACTTCCCTAAATACTGCAGTTTTGCTTTGCTATTGTTTTTGAACACTTTTTTTGTTTTGAGACAGAGTCTTGCTCTGTTGCCCAGGCTAGAGTACAGTGGCGTCATCGTAGCTCACAGCAACCTCAAACTCCTGTGCTTAAGTGATCCTCCTGCCTCAGCCTCCCGAGCAGCTGGGACTACAGGAGAGCACCACCATGCCCGGCTAATTTTTCTATTTTTAGTAGATACGGAATCTGGCTCTTGCTCAGGCTGGTCTCAAACTCCTGAGCTCAAGGGATCCTCCCACCTCGGTCTCCCAGAGTGCTAGCATTATAGGCGTGAGCCACCACACCCAGCCTATAACTTTTTATATAAAGATCCACTTGTTCCAGTACTATTTACTAAAAAGGCAACTTCTTCTGTTGTTCTGTGGTATCATCTTGCTGTAAGGTGTACATATATTTATGAGTTTGAATCTGAGCTTTTTCTTCTACTCCTTTGATCTATTTCGTTCATTCTCTTGGGCGTGAAAATATCTTCAATATTACAATGGTTTGTGGCTCTCCAAAGGGCCATATATGGTACTTCTGCGGTATTAAATTTTCGCAGGACCTATACACAAATGTTTATAGTTAGTTGTGTCCATAACAGCCAAAATTTAGAATCAACTGTGTCCTTCAAATGGCAGATGGTTCAACAAATGATGGTACATCCATACTGTGGAATACCACTCAGCAATAAAAGCTGCTAGTGATACACTGAGAACAACTTGGATGGATCTCAAAGGAATTATGCTGAGTGAAAAAAGCCACTCTCCAAAGGTTACGTATTGTATGATTCCATTTATATACATAACATTCTGGAACTAGAATAGATTAGTGGTTACGAGGAGCTGAGGACTAGGGGTGGTGAGGGTTATCAAGGGATGCACAAAAGGGCAACGTGGGGTGGGACTGTTCTGTATCCCGATGGTGGTGGTGGTGGTTACAGGAGTCTATTTGTGATAAAACAGCATATAATTGTACACACACACACACACACACACAAATGAGTACATGTAACACTCATTCATTTCATGACAAGAAATCTGAACAAAGTCTGTGGATTGTACCAAAGTCAACTTCCAGGTATTGATCCTGTGCTATAGTTATTTATGTAAGATGCTACCATTGGGGGAAACTGGGTGAAGGGTACGCTGGACCTTCTTGTGTGTGTGCGTGTGTGTGTGTGTGTGTGTGTGTGTGTGTGTGTGTATAGATAGATACAGTAGCTTCCCTGTATAATTGTTTCAAAATAAAAAGTTTTAAGTATTTTTTATGGAAGAAGGGGTAACTAGGGGAAAAAATGTCTAAAAAGACTCCTATTGGCCAGGTGCAGTGGCTCATGCCTGTAATCCTAGCACTTTGGGAGGCTGAGGTGGGAGGATCGCTTGAGGTCAGGAGTTCAAGACCAGCCTCAGCAAGAGCAAAGCCCCGTCTCTACTAAAAATAGAAAGAAATTAGCCAGGCGTGGTGGCACATGCCTGTAGTCCCAGAGGCTGAGGCAGGAGGATTGCTCGAGCCCAGGAGTTTGAGGTTGCTGTGAGCTAGGCTGATGCCATGGAACTCTAGCTTGGGAAACAGAGTGAGACTCTGTCTCAAAAAAAATAAATAAATAAAATAAAAAATAAAAAGACTGCTATGGGGACAATAATGAAAAACAGATTGAGGAACATTGGTCTAGTTTGTCTTAATTACCATAGTTTTGTAATAAATCTTGATGTCTGATAGAACAAATCCTGTGGAAAGCAATTTTACCTTTAGATTTCTGCCTCAGGGAAATCAAAGTTAAACAATTTGATGAACGTAGGGATTGAAGTGGAGGGGCAAGAGAGATGGGGTGCTTTTCTCCTGCAACTGATCCTGGGCCGTGCATGCAAAATCCCCTGTGGAACTTTCTAGGGTAATTGGAAATGTGCTATATCTTGAGAGGGATGGTAGTTACGTTTGTCAAACTCATTGTCAAGGCATATACGTTTGTCAAACTCATTGAACTATGCACTTAAAGTCTGTGTACTTTATTAGATGTCAATTATAGCAAAAAAAAAAAAAAAAGTCCTTCCTCATGCGTCTTTAATCCAGCAAATCCTGATCACGATCTCCTCTGCTAGACCGGGCCCACCACACAGCACCCAGCACTTGTAGTTGGGGAGAAGAGTAAAAAGAAAAGCAAGGCCAGGTATGGTGGCTCTTAGCACTCTGGGAGGCCAAGGAGCAATTGAGGCCAGGAGTTCAGGACCAGCCTGAGCAAGAGCTGATGTATTTTCTACGAAAAATAGAAAAATTAGCCAGGTATGGTGGTACACACCTGTAGTCCCAGCTACTTTGGAGGCTGAGGCAGGAGGATTGCCTGAGCCCAGGAATTTGAGGCTGCAGTGAGCTGTGATGGTACCACTGCACTCCAGCCTGGACCACAGAGTGAGACCCTGTCTCAAAAAAGCAAGATTTGAAGGAAGAGGGAAGACTAAGAGAGACACTCCTGTATCTTGACAAACTCAGAAGGTTCCTGAGTTTGACAGTCCCTGCAAAGAATGCAGGGGCTCCATTATGCCAGCCAATAACACACACACCTCGGCCCATTCCTCACAGTTCTTAAAGATCTTCCAGAACAGCAAATGAAGAAAATGGCTCTGTTTCCATTCATTAATAGTTTCATTTTCAGGAAATCTGCCCCTCTTCCTATTTGTGAATAATGCATGCATGCCTACTGCAGACCAAAATTCTCTTCTTTTTTTTTTTTTGAGACAGAGTCTCACTCTGTTGCCTGGGCTAGAGTGCCGTGGCATCAGCCTAGCTCACAGCAATCTCAAACTCCTGGGCTCAAACAATCCTCCTCCCTCAGCCTCCCGAGTAGCTGGGACTACAGGCACGCACCACCGTGCCTGGCTAATTTTTTTCTATTTTTAGTTGTTTGGCTAATTTCTTTCTATTTATAGTAGAGACGTGCTCTCGCTGTTGCTCAGGCTGGTCTCGAACTCCTGAGCTCAAGCAATCCTCCCGCTTTGGCCTCCCAGAGTGCTAGGATTACAGGCGTGAGCCACCGCGCCCAGCCAAAATGCTCTTCTTAAAATTCATTTTGAAATAATCAGATTAAGTTACTCAATGCAATATCTGCTTATCTGTTACTTCCAGGAAACAAATCTGACCTCTGGGAAAAGCGGCACGTCCTGTTTGAGGATGCCTGCACGCTGGCTGAGAAATACGGCCTCCTGGCTGTCGTGGAGACATCTGCCAAGGAGTCCAAGAACATAGACGAAGTCTTCATGCTCATGGCCAGGGAGCTGATCGCCCGAAACAGCCTGCACCTGTTCGGGGAAAGTGCCCTGAGCAGCCTCCCCCTGGACTCCAGCCCTGTTCTGATGGCCCAGCGGCCAAGTGAGAAGACCCACTGCACCTGCTGAACATGTTCACGCGGCCAGTTGCGGCCACCAAAGAGGCCATCTCTGAAACAAAAGGTAGCCAGACAACCTCGTGTCTCCCGAGCCGCGCTTCAGACCCACGTGTAGTCCCACTGCTTGTCCCTAATCCTCCCTGCTTGGTTGGGCAGCACCTGCGTCTCGATTCGCACCAGAAGTCATAGCCGCTCACTCTGAAGAAAGGGGACTCCATCGTTTTCCTTGGAGAAACCAGGCCTGCAGGCATGGGCGTGGGAGGACGGGGTGTGCACCTCTCCCCTTTCCCTTTCTGTCTCCCCAGCACTTTCCCTGCTTTCTGCTGAATTTTGCTTCTTGCTTGAAGGAGGTAGAGACGGAAAGAAGGGAGGAGGAATATCAATCAAGAAGTGGGGAGAATGTTTGGAACATTCTGGAGCAGTTTGAAACAGTGCAGCAGGGAGGATGGGACAAAAGCCTGCAATGAGAAGCCAGGATGCTGTTGTCGCTTGTTTCCTGATGTCCACTTTGGGGAGCAAGGCCTTTTGGCATAAACACTAGACATGCCGTCTTGCCAGACGGTCAGGAACCCTCTCATGGAGTTGGAACTGGATTTCACTTTATCTGAGTGGGGCTGATTTGGCCACCCTTCTGGGGATATAAGAGATCCCTACAATTTCTTTCTTTCTTTGATCAGGGGGCAGGGGACAGAACAGGCTCTCGTTCTGTCACCCAGCCTGGAGTGCAGTGGCACAATCATAGCTCACTGTAAAACCTTGAATTCCTGGGTTCAGGTGATCCTTCTGCTTCAGCCTCCCGAGTAGCTGGGACTATAGGCACGAGCCACCACACCTGGTTATGTTTTTAAATTTTTATAGAGACCGGGTCTCACTATTTTGCCCCAGGCTGGTCTGGAACTCCTGGGCTCAAGTGATCCTCCTGCCTTGGCCACCCAAGTGCTAGGATTACAGGCGTGAGCTACCATACCGAACCTACAATTTCTAAAACATCAAATTATCTGCTGGATCAGAAATCATTTCTGAGTTGAAATTAAACTGGCTCATTGATGAATATCAAACCAGTGTTGCATTGCCCCTCTCCAAGATGTGGCCAGAGGGCGGCTGGAGCCTCCTGGGGGCAGAGTAACCCCAGCTTTCAGAACTAAAAACATAAGAAGAGACTAGCTGGGCGCGGTGGCTCACGCCTGTAATCCTGGATCTCTGGGAGGCCGAGGTGGGCGGATTGTTTGAGCTCAGGAGTTCGAGGCCAGCCTGAGCAAGAGTGAGACCCCGTCTCTACTAAAATTAGAAAGAAATTAATTGGACAACTAAAAATATATAGAAAAAATTAGCCGGGCATGGTGGCACATGCCTGTAGTCCCAGCTACTCGGGAGGCTGAGGCAGAAGGATCGCCTGAGTCCAGGAGTTTGAGGTTGCTGTGAGCTAGGCTGACACCATGGCACTCTAGCCCGGGCAACACAGTGAGATTCTGTCTCAAAAAAAAAGAAGAAACTAGAAGGCATTAGATGGCCCCATCCCTAGAACTGTGTTAGGGGACTTCAGGGCAGGTGGCAGGTAGTGGGCAAGGGGATCCCTTTGGGCCTTGAGGTCTGGGCCTATCGGGAGCAGTGGACGTCCACCTGGCAGGGACTCCGGGGGGGATGAACCCTGCTCAGCTGCTGTTTATCAAACTGCCGTGAGTGTCAAAAGTTGTGCAGGGCCCATTGGGAATGAATGATCGCTTGGTTGCCAGCTCCAGTGCAGGAGAAAAGAGGCGCCAACTGCATTCTGCCGCTCTCCCCCGACACCCTCAGCCTTCCCATGTCCTCTCGCCCGCTCCATTCTCAGCGTCCCCGGCTGGTATCAGGGCACCACGTGGCCCCAGACATGGCCCCACTGGCCTCCAGAGAGAGGAAGCCGGTTTCTAAGCCCTCCCTCTGCTCTTCCCCCTACCCCGTGCTGGTCCCTCCTTGCCTCAAGTTATCCTCCTGCTCTTGAGACATTTCAAGGAGTCTGAGGCAGGAGCCAGAATTTAAATTCTGTCCTTCAGGACCCATCTGCAAACTAAATCAACCACAGAAGACAAGGGCAAAGCTCGAGAGTGGACAGTGCGTCCCCAGCTCCTCCCCATCAGGAAGCACTCTCGGTTCTTCCCAGTTAAGGTCCCTTCTAGAAACTCCTTGTCTTGCAACAGAGTCTTCATTGCCTGTTGGTTCGTCTATTCCTGAGGAATGGGTCAACCAATCTGTTCAGTGTGTGTCCCAATCCCAGCACGGTGCCAGGGTCAGGCACCGACCAGAACATGGGCCTGCCGGCCTCACCTGTGGGGACAAGGCTCTCAGACCCCAGCCCTCCTGCAAGCAAACCTCCCTCTTTTCTGCTTTCCTCCACCCCCACAAAGAGATCTGAGGTCAGAGATCAAAGACAGCCTGCAGTACTAGTCTTCCCTGAGGCATTTGCATGTTAGTGGGAATCAAAGACAAACCTAAAGAGATAAAGCTCTAAACTGGGACTTCAGCCCACTGGGAGAGAAAGGCCTCCTGGGAGAACATGGCCTTATAGTGACCCCTGAGACCACCCACTGGGACAGCCCCACTGGCAGATTATCTTCCCATCCACAGGTATCTTTCACTCTGGGTCTCAGAGATGGTGTTAAGAGGGGACAGAGATGGCTGCATGGTGCAGGGTGGGCGGGGACGGTTCCAGGGCTGGCTCAGGGATGGGAGAGCTCCACGCCGGACACTGGCCACCTGAGCAGCTCCACTAAACAAGCAGCAGTTCCATCCGATGACCTTATTTTTGCTGGAGTTTCTGCCACTTCCCAGCAAGACTCTCCTCCTCACTTTGTTCACAGAGGAGAAGCTCTGAGACCAGCTGCAGAACCCTGGCTTCCAAGCCAATAATAGGAACTTGCATTAAAGTTCTGAGAGTGACCTCAGCCTTGTGCACAGGCACTTCCTCGCCCCCCCAAACCATCTCCACCCAGGACAGCTTCTGATGGGAAGACCAACTTCTGAAGTCTGTCACCAATACAGAGCCCCCGTGTTCGGGTGCACGGACTTGGCAGTGTGTGTGTGTGCGCGCGCGCGCGTGCCCAGCCCCACCCACCGACTCAGTCAACAAGCCGAGGCAGGTGCTGGCAGCTCACGGTCACCCAGTGGGGCAGGCCTAGCTTGTGGTGAACGGTGATGGTGATGGTATGAGACTCAAACCCCTGGGCGTGGGCTGCAGCTCTTGTCACTGTGTGTCCTTGGGCAAGTCACACACCTTCTTTGAAGATACAGTTGCTTAAATGAACTCTTGTGAGGAGCAAAAGGGAAATGGCCCTCAAAATGCTTTGGAAGTGGCCGCTGCTCATGCCTGTAATCCTAGCACTCTGGGAGGCCGAGGTGGGATCGCTTGAGGTCAGGAGTTCGAGACCAGCCTGAGCAAGGGTGAGACCCCAGTCTCTACTAAAAAAAGGAGAAAAACTTAGCCGGGCAACTAAAAATAGAAACAAATATTAGCCAGGCGTGGTGGTGCGCCTGTAGTCCCAGCTACTCGGAGGCTGAGGCAGGAGGATCACTTGAGCTCAGGAGTTTGAGGTTGCTATGAGCTAGGCTGATGCCACGGCATTCTACTCAGGATGACAAAGTGGGACTCTGTCTCAAAAAAAAAAAATGCTTCGAAAGTCTAAATAGCAAGACAAAGTCAATATGGAATCATCGTCTTCATGATAATTCAGCAGACATTGGGGAAGGGGCTAGAACTGAACCTCAGTCTCGACACTTCATTTGGTATTTAAGGCTTTACCCCCGGGAAAGGTTGGTAAAGGGGTGCATTTTCCCCATGGCCTACTAGTCCCTTGAGAATAAAACCCTTCTCTATTTATTCCATGTCTTGGCACAAATACTCTTTGACGACATTAGGGAATTCTTGAAAAACTCTTGTCACCTGAAAATGCATATGTCAAAGCATTGTCCTCACGAGAGATGATGGCAAAAGAATTCCTGTCTTTCCATGGAGCAGGCAGCACTGAACCACCTATGTCCAGCCTTGAAGAGTAGTCCAGCCTTGAGGCCGGGCCCTGCCCCTCAGCTTGCCAAGGGACGGTTACGGTGGGAGGTGTGAAGTTCTGGGATGGTGTCTCTTCGGAAGGAATGTCCAAGAAGTCCTTCCTGCCCCTATTCCAAACTCTGTGCCCTTCAGACTCCGGAAACGATCTTTCACGGCTACCAGCACTTTCTGAGGAACACCATTTCTCGAGTAGTTTCCTGAGAGGTTCTAGGATGAAATCACAAGTGGTTACTGCAGCACACTTTCCAGGCCATAGGGTCAGAGGGACGTGGGACGGACCGGGGAGAGGCTGTGCGCTACTCGTGATGCCGAATCCTGCCGAGAGGCCGCGGAACGCTGGGCGCAGGGGTCCCGCCGTCTTACTCTGACTTCGCTGTGGGTGTGTGATCCAAGTCTCCGGGGGAAGCAGGCGCTATTATGAACCTCGAGACAGTGAAAAGAGTGAGGGGACAGCTGTCAGCTCAGCACCTGACTGCCCGTTTCAGGCCGACTGAACTGAGGCCTGGATAGGGTTTGGGGCGAAGAACCAGGGTTTTCTGAAAACATCAGCATTTTCACAGCCATACCCTCCTACGTTTCTTGGCAAATCCACTGACCAAGAAGTGATCTTCAAAAACCCCCTCTGTACTGGCTCCTACCTTGTGTTATTTAATATTCTCACATTGCTCCTGGAAGCGTGTTCAAGACTTTCTCTGTTCCTCAATTTGGTTTCTTCTAACCCACCGCAAACTAGCTTCCTTTTTCCTCTAAAATTCTTCTCAACAAAATCTCCAACCTCTCGCTAAATCCCATGTTTGCTTCCTGGTCTTTATTTTCCTTCTCTCCAGACAGCATTGGGTGGCTCTGACCGTTTCCTCCACCTTAACTTGGCCCTTGCCTTCCCTAACACTCAGGCTGTCCTCCTGCCTTCCGGCCCCTCCACCTCCATCTCCTGGGCCCTCCTCACCCTGTGCCTGTCCTGTAGCTGCCCTCCCGTCCCCACCACCTTCTCCAGGGTCTCTTACAAACACTCCCTCAGCCTCCTATGCCCCCTGGGCAGCGTCATCACTGGGGCCCTTCCCTCAAAGCTGCTCACCCTTCCTGGCTCCATACTTCAGTCTGACACTGTCCACTTTGTGGTCTAAGCTAAAAACCTCAGTGTCTGCCTCTACCCCTACCTCCTCGGTACCTTTTGCATCTGATTAGTTGCGGAGTCTTTTCAGTCCAAACTGCATAGCTCTCAAATCTGCCCATG